AAAAGCCTGAAGTGGCACTGTGGCTCAAGTGATAGAGCGCTAGTCTTGAGCTAAAGAGCTGAAGGACAGCGCCCAGGCCCAGAGTTTAGGCCCTATGACCGGCCTAGAGCGGTGTCGCTACTGGAATCTGGGATGTTGGCACATCGAATCACTGTTCAGCAGGTGGCTGAAAACATGACTTGTGCTATCATTACTTTGAAACTGGTCAGTAGAGCTTGATTTTAATGCATTTGTTTTCTTTTTTAAAATCATATAAATTAGTGTATTACACATGTGGGTTCTTTCTAAAGACATGCACACAACTAACTTGAAGATAATGAACTGCTGGTGTGACTGTCCGTTCTTTACTCTTGCCTTGGAAATGGTTCTTTTCAGGAAAAAAAAAAAAAAGAAATCCTTAGGCTTCACCCGAAGAAGTCCAGGGCACAGAAGAGTTAAGACCCATGTTGGAGGTCCCTGTCTGATGGTCAGAAACACAGCAAGTCATTAGTGGAAAGCCAGGGATCTTCCAAGCCTGCACAGCAGAAGCCACGGCTGAATGGTTAAGATCATGCGTGGTAAAATGTGTGGTCATCAAGAGCCTGTCTTGGGAAGAGTTTAGGAGTTTGACTTGTTGGCCCTCTCTATCCCCACAGCCATGAGAAAGGCCAGTCTCCAATCTTGGGGATGGTGGGCCGCAGTGTGTGTGTGGGGGGAAGCTGGGGGGGTGGAGCTCAGGACTGGAGAGTAAACCAACCCCATCTCCTCCTTCTGGGGATGAAGAACTAGAATGATGAAAGAAAGCTATGTTCTGACTCCAGAAAAAATGGGAGGATTCACATTCAAATCAACACCATTGGCCACATCTTCCGGAGCCAATCTCCTATTCCTTAGCAGACACAACCTTCCAACGTCAGGCGTGAAGCTAAAAGCAGGGGAGGACTGTGCCTTCCGCTCCGATAACTCACCGCTCTGAGTTCCATATTCAGGATGGTTGTGTAAGCTCCTCAGAGTGGGGCCCAGAAGAGCTCGACAGCAGTCGGACAGAGTGTGTTACACACACAGTGTGTCTTGGTTTCCAATGCGGCTCCACCTCACCGCAACTTAATCCAGGGACTTTGAGGATCTGCATGATTTTTCTAGTTCCCAACCAACTCTCATACTCCTTAAAGCCCCAGCTCTGGGGTTCAGATGCCACCTCTGCCCACTTACTATGAGAGTTTAGGTGAAATACTCAGCTTTGAAGCAGATCTCTAAAGATCATCTCCAAAGCACAGCAGAACTGCTTGGCTATTTTGTGTAACTTGATGTGCACTAGAATTCCTCCCCCATCCCCCACCCCACTGGGGTTTCTCAGTATTGAACATTAGCTCTTTAGGCTTAATATTTCTATTTCCTGGTAGCAAAATCAGACTAGGATGTGGGGCTCTACAAAGATCAATGGGTAAGTCTAATGGCTTCACATATAATCAGTTTTATTGCCAGGTAAGAAATTCATATTAATATAGTGAATACATATGTTTACAAATAAACATTCTTAGAAAACAAACAAATGTTTTTTTTCTTCGTTGTAGGAAGTATTATTGGTATCATAAACTCTGCAGTTGTGACAAGTATTTAACACAAGTATTTACTTGCAGAACATATGGTTACTAAAATATTTGCACATAAAATATGCTCCATTGACACACACACACACACACACACACACATACACACACAAAATAAAATGAAATAAAAGAACTGGGGAGGGGAGTTGGATGGGGAAGGTCCTGGCTGAGCCCTAGGCAGATGGAGGCTGAGACATTTGAGGAAGAAAGTCACACTCTGATCCCACTGGAAGTCAGGGCACAGCTACGAGAAAGGAAAAGCTTGTGGTAGGTGCGGAATGAAGAAAGTCTCCAGTGTGATCTGGCTTTTCTCCTCCACATCGCTCCACCTAGGCTATTGGATACTGCTCTTAGAGCCTGGGGGGCCTTACCTAGCTCCATAGATCATCTGGTAAGTTCTGTCTCCCCACCCCAGAGGACACCAAAGGATGAAGTAATGCTGTCAAAGCTTCCTTCCTCACTTCATCCTTCAGAGACAGTTGGAAAGGAGGAATTAGAAGTACTACATGGGCCCATCCTAAGACAGCCTCACTTGAGATGAACTTGATCTTCATCATATTGACCAGGCCGCAAATCAACTTCGTGGGACAAAATTTACTATGAAAGAAACAGCATGAGGAAGAAATGAAATACTCATGATTTGGATATCCAGAGAGAGAGAGAGAGAGAGAGAAAGAGACAGAGATAGGGAAAGACAGACAGAGACAGAGAAAGAGAGAGACAGAGTTAGGATAACGATGAGATGAAGTGGGTTTAGGTCACAAAAGAGCCAAAGTGAGCTAGAAGGAAGTGGAGAATCACAGACATTTTTAACTGGAGAGAAGCTCAGAGAGAAGTGGTGTTTCCTGGGCCGTGTACCACTTCTATGCGCAGTGGACATGGTTGGCAGCTTGTAGACTCAGCACTATTAAACACTGATCTACAAAGCATAGGTTTCTGGTTTCAATTATGTTCTAGTCCATCTGGTTATCCAAGGAGAAAGCCACCACTGGGGGCCGGTGTCTTTAACTACGGTTAATTACTTTGGCGGGGGGGAGAGAGAAAGAGAGAGAAGACACACATATACAGAAACACAGAGCGAGTTAGAGAAAGACAGAGATAGAGAGATAAAGAGAGAAGGTCCTACTCTTGGTTTAGATCCTTCCATGGGTACTAGCTCTTGAGAAGACTTACTTCTGCTCTCTCTTCTTAACAATTGGTGTGGGTTTTCCTGTGTGTGGTGAGAATTGAGATGCAGATGGCGGTGTGTGTTGCAGCTCACCATGCCTCGTCTGTGGTGTGTGCGGCCTCCACCTGGACACAGGTAAGGCAGACAGACCACACCAGACCCCAGCTTTGTTCTGCTCCACACTGCTTTATACATGCAACTGTATATGAAGTAATTTCTTTGCAAGACTTCATTTTTTTTAAAAACAGGCCTTTCTGTCCTCTCTCTCTCTACCTCAAAAATAAATAAAACCCTTGAAAAACTCAACCTAGCCCCAATCCCTTCTACCCCATGATTCAGATGGGAAATTAAGGCCCAGAGAGCTCCAAGCAGAGAGCTCCAAGCTGTCACCAGGAAGATAACTATCTGAATTTATCACCTCCATCAGGCCAGGGTGGAGGAGGGAGCAGGCAGAACGGGATGAGGAAGTCCCAGACTCTCCTTGAACCAGATCCCGTGGGTGTTCTCGGAGGTTCCTGTCCATTGCTAAGACCTTTAGGACCGAGCTGAAATGAAATTTGCCTCTCTCCCCATGCACCCAATTGGGATTTAACTAAACTAGCAGGACGAAAGGAAAACCATCTTCGTTGGGAAACCAAAGGGCCACTGGGTGAGAGGAACCCATCTTGCCAACCAACCTGGGGCCATTTTGGATGAAGAATGAAGGCGTTGGATCCCTGCAGAGGTAATTGCAGAAGGGATCATGAAAAACCGCACGGGTGTCTTTAGCCCTAACGTTGGAAGCAACATCTCGGGGGGGGGGGGGGGGGGAAGGCAACGGACATGGGGGAAGGGTGAGGGGCTCCCCTATAAAGGAAGGATGGAAACAGCTACTACTGCAGGAAAGAAAAACAAAACAGAAGGGAGAAAGGCTAGAGGGACACAGGTCACACTTGGGGAACGAGACTCTCACTGAACAACAACAACACATTGAAGGCACCACCCACGCTTATGACATTTTTCAGTCCAAAGCAGTTGAAGTTTGGCGGCCATGGCGGCAGCAGCAACGCACTGGGGGAGTGGCAGGGATGGGCAAGGGGAACATCGGGGCAGTTCCTAGAGACTGGTGTCATGGTGGTCTCAGGTCTTGGAGGTTAGGGAGACACCCCAGAAATCAGAGGGTTCTGGGTCCCCGTGTTGCCTCCCGTTGACTTTTCCAGCTGTGTTTTTTGTTGTTGGTGGTGGTAACAGGTGATATCATTGTTGGCATCTAAGTCTTAAAGATTTGTGGACCAAAAATTAGTTTATTTTTGTAGCGAGAGTACATTTCCTGTCTCTTTTTGTTTTTGTAATGATCATTTTTTAAAAGTTTTTCTGTTTTCTCTCTGGACTCTCTCTTTCCCCCCACCGTAAAAGCCCAGTGCTCCCATTTCCATGGCAATGGTCTTTATGGGGGATTTCTAGAATGTTCCTCCCTTTCCATCAACATCCGTGGGTTCAGACTTGTGTGTATGTGTGTGTGGAGTGAGTTTGTGTCTTGTTCTTGATTTTGGTTTTGACTTAGACGGTAAGAAAGGTGCTATCAGTACATTGGAAGGGGGCTTAGGGGTGCGGGGTGGGGGAGACCCATTAACTGTCTTCAGGCTCATCCATATTCTGGGTCCACAGAATTTGGGGGGATTAGAAATTTTCTTAACATGTGGACAAAGTCTTCCCAGGTACCTCTTCTTCTGAAATGCGTTCTTCTCTCATTTCAACCCTTGTTCTTCCTCCCAGAAAAGACAGCATGTGGCCAACGGTACGTGTGCTCCAATGGACACAACTCTAAATTGTGCTACTTATATCTATCTATCTATCTCTATGTATATATGTTATTTTTTTTCTCGTCATGGATTTCAGTTTCAAGTCAGGAGGAAAAGGGGGAAAAAAAAGAAATTCACCCCCAAAGTTTGGGCATGTGACCTGGCCGCCTTGGGCCGGACACTGAAAGAGAGAGCGTGCCTCAGTTTCCCCTCGGCCGTATTGCTGAAGGCCAGCCTATGCTTCGGTCTCCCTCGTCTGCCTGCCACCACAAGTCAGGCGTGACGTAGAAAAGGCCCGATTCTGTGTCACCAGCAGGTTGGTGGTTCGGTTCCTGTGGAGACTGAGTGGGTATGGAGTCAGATGGAGGGGAGGGCAAGAAGGTTGTGGCTGGAGTGTGGGTGTTTGGGTTTGTTTTTTGCCTCTCTCAGTGAAGTATGGTCTCCAGGGTGCTCCCGGTAAGCTCAGACAGTCACTTCTGTTTTGCTGTTGGTGATGAAGTATGGCTGTGTGGGTGGGAAGTGCTGGGGGCGAGTTCCCAGGGGGTCACTGGACCCGGATTCAGCCATGCCAAGCTTGCCCTTGTTACCATATGCCTGTCGGCGGAGAGACTGGTCGTTGGGGTCCCAAGTCTTAAAGTTGGCGGTGGTGGTGTTGTAGGCCAGGGGGTGTGGTGCCATCTTGTTGGTGCCGCGGGACTTCTGTCCGTTCTGCTTGGCGGGCCCGTGTTCGGGGCTGAAGGCCCGGGGTTCATCCTCCACTCTTACAGGGTGCAGAGGTAGGTTCCCCTTGGCAGCCAGCTCAGCCAGGTGCCTTCGCTTGGAGTAGAAGTCATCATTGACCTTGTCAGCTGTATAGTGGGTGGGATGGGTGGATGGAGAAGGGGAAGAGACAGCGGAGACAGGGAGTGAGAGGAGAGAGAGGAGAGAGAAAGAGAGAGAGAGAGAAAAGAGTTAGGGATTGGCAGGTCAATCCAAGAACAGCATAAAAAGAAGCCAAAGGTCCACACGAGACACAAAGAGAAACTTCACCTGGAACAAGACAGAGGCCCTTTCACAGACAAGAGCAGAAACAGGAGGGTCGAGGGAACGCTCCAGGGGACCCCTAGACCCTCCCACCACAATCCTGGCTCTCCTTCCACCATTCCTGCCTTCCTACAACTGGAGAAGTGCTTCTTCATCATCGATAAAGTCCATCCTCACCGCAGAAAACAGTGAACATGTTGAGGGATGTTCACATCACCACCTACTCAAGACAGCCAGTATCAACAGATGGATATTATTTTCTTCTAGTCTCTTTAATAACACAGAGTTTAATTTGGGAATTTTTTTCCATTGGTTTGTTTTGTTGCTTTTATTAATTTCTTTAGCATGAAGTAGCAGACTTATGTTCAAATCCAAACTCTGCCACCTGCTAATGCTGTGACTTTGGGTAAGTTATGAAATTTTGAATCCCATTTTGGTTTCTGCACGAGGTACGTACTTGCGATAAAAATGGATGTTCCAGCCAGGTGCTGGTGGCTCAGGCCTGTAATCCTAGCAACTTGGGAGGCTGAAATCTGAGGGCTGAGGTTTGAAGCCCAGGGAGGAAAGTCCATGAGACTCTTATCTCCAATTATAGACACATACACACACACACACACACACACACACACACACACACACACACACACACACACACCACACACACACGTATATATTCCATAGGGCCATTTGGAAGGTTAAGTAATTTGATGTATATGAGGTGCTTTAGATTTAGTCTTAATCATTATCCCCATCTTTATAATACCATTTTCATTCTTCCCATACCATCCTGTCAAACACTCTCTATGTTGCTATGAAATTACTAATACACAAGATTTTAATGCCCACATACTACTTCAGGGTAGGATTGTCAACATTAGCCATTCCCCAAATGAGAGAACAACATACACCCATATTTTGCTATCACAAATAAGGCTCCAATGGGAATCTCTTGCCTCAATCACACAAAGCCTTTACACTGAGTAATGGGGCAGCTTTTAACATCAGCCTCTTGAGCTCCATCCCACGGGAAGGAGGAGGCCCAGGCTGCCTCCTGGAATATGACAAACCCACAGGTAAGCTACCCACAGTTATCACAGCCAATAACTGCCATATACCCAGTGAGGTCCTCCTGGATGCTACAGCCAGTCAGGTGACCTGCCCTCTGACCCCAGACACTCAGCCAGCCCTGCCCAAAGCATGCAAACCAGAGGAACTGCTCAGCTGACCCCACATCATCAGCCCAATAAACGGTTGCTATGCGGATCCATTAAACTTTGGGGGTCATTTGTTACACAGCTGCAGATAGCTGATACCTGCCATCATTCACAAAAGCCCGTAGGTAGGTAGAAAGGAGTGTAGGAGCTTCAAGAAACTGGGTGCAACTCTGTGTGGTTGGGTGAAGAAAACAAGGGCGACCCGCCAGGCACCCAAAGGCTCCTAGACAAGATCGTGACATTCATGCCTGTTTCTTTGTCTGAGCGTCACAGGACTTGGTGGTGTTTTATAGGAGAGGAAGACAGGTATTGCTGTAGTGCCCAGGACATGGAACAGTCCTCCAAAGAGATGTTTTCAAGATTATTTCAATACCTGAAGGTTCGGTAGATAAACCATTGTCCGATGATACAGTTTCTATGAAATTCTTTCTCCTCAGCATTCCTGGTCCCCCACCCTCCACCCCTACCCACCCACCGCCACCCCGATGTGGAGCCAGGCAAAGGTGAGGTAGAGGTGCACCTGGCCACTCTCTGCTTCTTGCAGTGCATCCCTGTCTTTGTATATTAGAAAGCTCCTTGCAAAAGAACTAACGGATTCACTGACACAGTCCTGTAAAGCCCCATTAATAAACGCATTAACCTAATCAGTGGGCAGATGGCTGACAAGCCGACCAGGAAACAGATGAGTGAGACTTCCAACCATACTGGCCTTCTCCGGCTTGATTTTTCTTCATTTAGAAAAGAGAGGGAAAGAGAGGAAGGGGGGGGGGTGGTAGAGAGGTAGGGAGGGGAGAAGGTGACTTTTTTCCAATAAGCCTAATTGCCTTGAAGGAGCCAGGGCTGTAAAATTAAACTGTATCTTCCTCCATCTGTCTCTCTCTTCATTAGTAGCAGACAACTTGCACAGGTGTGGGGCGGGATGGAGCCTCGCATCGGTGGAAATAGAGAGCTTCGCGTTTCCAATACAAGCTGCTGCACGTCAGAAGGGCTCAGCAGGTGGCCGCCCACCTCCCTTCTTCCCTTGGGCTGAAGATGTCTCCAGGAGGCCTTCCCGTAGCTCATTCTCACCTGGTGATGTTCTTGGTGATATTCTCCAGTGATGGAATTTTTTTTAACCTGGTAGGCAATGCCACCATTAGAGCTTTTATAATCCTCCATCTGTCTCTATCTTTGGTTTAAGAATCTGATGATTCCTAGTGCTGGTGGCTTAAATCTTGTCATTCTAACTGCTCACATGGCTGAGATCTAAGGATTGTGGTTCAAAGCCAGACTGGGCAAGAAAGTCTGTGAGACTCTTATCTCCAATGAATCACCAGAAAACCAGAAATGGTGCTGAGGTTCGACATGGTAGAGCACTAGCCTTGAGCAGAAGAAGAGCTCAGGGACAGCACACGGGCCCTGAATTCAAGCCCCACAACTGATTAACAAAAAAAGAATCAGATGAAATGCAGGGATTAATCTCATCAGATGCAAGCACAGACTCCAAATTATTTCAGTGGCCTCCCTCCCAAGTCTGCATGGCCCAGACTCTAGATCCTTGGTCATCCTCCGTTCTTCCCATACAGATGGAGAGCTCATCACACGGTGTGCTTACTTTAACTAGATCTGCTTCTATAAAGCACTGCCAACCAGGAGTCTTGAAATGACAGTGATACCTTCATTTAAGTTCTGATGCCAGGAGTCTGCAGTCAGGGCAATGGCAGGATCACCCTCCCTCTAAAGGCTCTAGCGATGGGTCTTCCTTTACCTCTTGTGGTTTCCGGTGCTTTGAGCATTATCATGGCAGCAGGAGCACGGTGGTGAGGAGCTATTCACCTCATGGCAGCCAGGAAGCAGAGAGAACAACAGGAAGTGGCCAACGACAAGCTATCTCATCTTCCCAGGGGAATCTCTCAGTAGCACACTTCCCCTATCAGCCCTCCCCTTCACAGCTCTACCACCTCCCAATATCCTATTCAAACTCTTAATCCAACAATGGACTAACCTAGTGATGACCACAGAGCCTCTGCAATCCACTTTCCCAAAGCCACGCCTCCATCAACACCGCATCTACTGGGGAGTAGGCCTTTGGCCTCTGCGCCTGTAAAGGATACTTCATACTCATCCAGCAACATAACATCTAGCCCCGTGACTGGTACAAATCTGGGGTACGACGTTGTACATGGTGAAGGAAGTCAAGCTTTAAAGATCTTTAGAGTCAGCGGGGTGCCAGTGGCTCATGCCTGTCACCTTCGCTACTCAGGAGGCTGAGATCTGAGGATTACAATTCAAAGCCATTCCAGACAGGAAAGTCCATGCGACTCTTCTCTGCAATTAGCCTCCTAAAAACCAGATGTAGAGCAGTGGCTCCAATGGTAGAATGGTAGCCTTGAACAAAAAAAGCTCGGGGATAACGCCCAGGCCCTGAGTTCAAGCCCCAGGTCTGGCATACACACACACACACACACACACAATCTTAGAATCTAATAGCACTCTCTAACATATTAGAAATGGGTAGGGTGTTTTATTACCTGACCATCTAGTCTGCACCAAAAGAAACAAAACAGAGTGGTCTGTTCTGCCCAGGGATTGAAGAGTTGCAGCTTTGGCGAAGGATTTGCTCAGGCTTCATGCGTCTTCCTGGCAGTGTAAAGAGGCCTGGATATCCTCTTAGCCGGCATAGCTCCGAGGAAGTAGAACAAAATCAGTTGAGAGAGGCCGACGGAGCTAAACAGAAGGCCGTGTGGACATGGCCTCGCTGCTGCGTAGGCACGCACAGTGTTGAACCCACCAAGCTCTCCGCTGGGGGACTGACGCTGGGTCATACTCCATACGCTTGGAAACACAGTGGCAGTAGGTACTCTTACTGGCTTCCTTTTAGAAAAGAGAAGGCTGAGGTTCTGGAGGCTTTGGAAACTCGCTGGGTGTGGACACAAGGTATCTGGCTGCGGTGCCAGCTTTTACTCCACAAGACACAGCCTTCGTCAGTCTGTCTGTCCACACTATGGAAGGGGGCGATGCGTCTCTGTTGAGGATCTACTGGCAGAGCGGTCTTCCTTTAACACGGCAGGGTTGAGAATCGTGTGGGTGAAACGCTCCATGTTCCCTCCTCCTCCCCGTGACACAGATGAATGCACGTGTGTAAACAGCATGTTCTCAAGAGAAAACGCCAATACCTCGTGGCCAGAAATTCAATGAAGCCCCAATATTTTCCCCCACCCCACACATACTCACATACAAGACCAAACACGTCTATTTTTTTCCCTTCTTCCTCAAACAGGAGGGGGGGGAAAAAAAAGCTAGAGCACCCGCAACTCTCCCCCATGGTCAGGCTCTTATTCTTCCAGTATCCCGTTGGCTCCTTCATCACCCGAGGTGTGATTTCCAGCATCTTCTGAGACACACTGGCCAACTCACAGATGGGAAGGAGGGCCTATTTTGTCCTGAATCTGGGCTGCACACGAAGTGATAGGCTTTTTTTTTTCTGCCCATAGAACTGAGAAGAGACAAGGTTTCTTCATTATCGCTCCAGGCTGGGCATTGTTCGGGAACCTTCCATCTTTTCCACATTTAGCCGGCCTCCAGTGACAACAGGGTTCATGGAGTTCTGCCTGCCACGTGGTACCAACTTC